TTTTACTTTGAAAGTCTGTGTTATCTTAGTGTGTAACACCCCCATCACCCACTAATTCACAAAAATTCCCTCGGGACGTGAACAGGTGATATAGCAACCACTATTACTATTACCGACACCACGTGACCCAAAGCTACGCCTAACCACAACAGTTATCTTTCAAGGTTCAGTAGAAAAACACAACTGTCCTATTCAAACCAGACAGGGATTAAACAAATACTGATTAATGATTCATTTCTAATCTTGTCTGACTGGATTTTTAACTGACTTGTTGAATATTTATGTAAAAATAACTTTGAGCTCTCTTGACGACTTTACCAACCAGATGATGATTGATGTCTCTCTACAGTTCTGTGAAAAAGTATTTGCCCCCTTTCCTGAGTTTCCTGAGTCATTTATTAAGGGAAAAAAAAAAATTGCCCCCTAAATGTCATAACTGGTTGTGACACCGTTGGTAGGAGTAAAGTGTGTGTGATAAGTCTAATTTTGCTTTGGAGGAATTTCATCCGACAGAAAGAAAACCAAATCAGGAAGGGGGAAATATTTGCTCACAGTACTGCATAAAGTCAGTACATGCAATAAAATACTGCATAGTTTGCAAATCAGCCAAAAACAAAAAAAAAAGAAATAAAAAATTCAATCTATGAATCTATACCTGGGACTCTTTATATTTGAAGTACAGTATCCCAAGACGTCTCTTTAGAAAAATTGTTTACCTTTTCCACTTTGAAAAAGATCAACTCCTTCCTTCCACATTCCTTATTAAGTTCCATCCTTGTCACTGTTAACTTTACTCATTAGTCTTGTTAGTGGAAAAACTGCAGGCAGGAACTGCTGCATCTTTGACATGTGTCACCAGCTGTGTCTTTTTACAACTAATGATCGTAATAATCACACTGTCACCAGGAATTTTATTTTAGATTATTCTGCAAGACCTCGTGTTAATTTTTTTTTTCTAGAATTCTAGAATATCAGCCACATTTTTCCGACTACACTAAAAGTTTCACCAGACTTTCATAGTTCCTGGACGATAGGTCCTAATGGCTTATGCAATCCAATGTATTTCATCTAATGTCATAATGAGGTTGGTGGTTTTAGGTGAAATGTACTGTCAGTTATTAATAGAGTGTCATTAACTTTGACATGCTGTATATTACCCTATGTCAGCTTAACTCTTTAACATTAGCATTTTTGTACTACGTGCTTATTTACAGTTTTTTACAGTCGCTAACAAGCGCCTATCCATACTTCAGATACCTTTTCTAAACTCTTAACACAGACCCACACCTACAAAACACAATTGGCCAAATGGATAATATCCTTCCCAAAAATACACTTTGTTAAATATATACTAACTCCTCATTTCAAAATTAGAACACATCGTTCTCTGCACACACTAACTGTACAAAAACACTATAAATCTGACTCAAAATGAAATTAGTCTGTCAAAGAATAACACTTGTTTTCACTTCACAAGGTACATGCAGTCAATCAAAGTACACCAGGTTTCAAAATACTGGCTATCATTGACATTACAAAAACTGCATAGACATTTATGTTTCAGTTTCACAGGTATTTGCATGCGAAACATGCAATCCACCATTTTGACACCAGAAATGTCTTGGTTGGTAACTGTATGTCCACATGTACAGTAATGTTCACATTCAAAAGCATTCCAGTAAAAAGCAAACAAGTTTTTGTTTCTTTACTGTTTACCACAGGAGGTACAGTAGAAACACGGTATGATAGGACAGAGAAAGTTTTACAGTATTGCTTACAGTGAACAAAATATCCATGAAACACACAAGAGCATTCTGAACAAAAAAACAACAGCAAAAAGCCAAGATAAAAAGGGGGGGAGGGGGAGGGGGGCTATAAAAAGGCAAAAGATTTGCATCTAATCTCTGCGATCTTCAGGGTTAGGCCACATGTTTTCATCAACATCACATCTGATGTTATCCAAGTCGATGCACCTGGGATAAAACCGCCTGGTATGTCGGATCCACCGACATATCATTGCAGAAGCAGAGGTTTTTATACTGTATCTAAGGTTTGGGATATTGTTTTTGCTATTGTGGGATGTTGTGTGTTAACATTCGTAGATACTACAAAAACAGTTCATGATTTTGTTGGGAGGTATAGCTTGTCTGTTAAGAAAATGTAAGCATTGTGGAAATGTGTTCACTGACTGCATATTGGGTGAACACGACATGAAATGTGTGACTGGTATGGCCACAACAGACCGATGCTGTGCTAATTGTGTTTAGAGTTTTGCAAATGTGACAACTGTTTGGACAAACGCTTGTTAGCGACTGTAAGAAACTGTAAATTACTCTACGCAATATTTCTTTATGGCAGCCAAAGCATGCAGGCATGCAGTTGGGGATTCACGCCACGAAGTTAACCATAAACTCTTTTTACCCACCGATAGAAATGAGATTTCTGATTAGATTTTTGAGTCCTAGTTTGGTGTACACCCTCGTTCAACTATTTCAAGGACAGACTTACATAAAAAAAAGATGTCTCAGCAAGTATTGGAGGCCTGTGATGATGAATGCCCTTACCTTCAGAGAGGGATATCTAGTTTTTAATAAGTTCCATCCACCAACCAGACAGGAGATTAACCCATAGAACTGCATCTCTATCTGACAGAAAGCAAACACAAAACCTATACATTAGACAGCAGTGATGTGTCGCATTGTGCTGAGTGATTTGTTGCAGTGGTGGACATTTTATTTGGGATTACATTTTTGTTATACTCAGCCATAAGTTGGCCATATAATTTTTTAATTAATTAATAAATTAAATTTTTAATGTTTCTATAATAGTTACTGCAACTGTATGTTCAAGCTGTGCCAAATTACAGTTATTTACTTGCATTTTTACTGGCATTCCTCAACATAAAAGAATGTTTTAGTGGTTGAATGTTATGCTCGATTAATTTCTGACTTCTCACAGAAATTCAGTGGGCCAGCTCAAATTTGTGCATAAAAAAGTAAATTTGTTTTCTTATTTGTCTGATAACTAAGAATAGTTTTCGGTTTTAAACAATTCTCATGAATGCTTTCTAAAAAAAAACTGGTGTTTTCTTGTTTTTATAACAGGTAGTCTAAAAAATTTTATTGCCAGATTAAGTTCAAAGCACTTTAACTTAATCTGGCAGTAAAATGCAGCTTATACTAAAGCAACAGTAATAGGAACCAAAAATAAATCATTCATTATAACACAACACAATATAGATCGGTAACATTCCCGTAACATGAATTAGGTTTGTAACATGAACATGAACACACCCATCTGAAAGACGAATGTTTCTGCATTTTAACAGTAAGTCAATCTAAAATTGCAAATGGTTTTCTCATCTGCAACACATAATATCATTAAATGCTCCAGAGAATCAATATGTCTGTATGCACGCGTGCAGGCCATTTCTGCTGTCAACTGGTGACCTAAATACTGCTAGGATATAAGTGGTAATATAAATAAATATGGTCAATATAAAAACATTTCCATTGTGTATGAAAAGCATACTCATTCACTATTTGTCTTTTGCCTTATATTCTAAATAAATGAGGATCGCTTGATCAAGGTTCACACCTGCTTTACTGTGAAAACGTCCTACACTCTCTGTATCCTTCCTATTCTATTTTATCTAACTCAATCTTGAAAAGGACATCAAACAGCACCTTGACCCTGCTTCTGGATCATGTGGTTGACCCTGAGTCCAGGAAGAAGCTTAGACATATTTTCAACTGCCTTTGTTGAAATGCTGCCCTGTGTAACCTGGCGAGAATAAAAGGTTGCTGTATTTCTCTTAAAGTTCTTGCAGTGGTATGAATCACTAATGTTTCTGAATACCCCTACACATTGTCTGTGTTCAGTGAAGCGTATCCAAATACAGTTTGCACTGACAGTTGAGATATGGATTGGGTTATATCACATTTCTTCAACTGTTTATTGAAAAGTGAGGCTGCAAAATGACTACTCCATTGATGGATCATTCTCAAGACCTGACAATATATTCACCTAAGTAGTTTAAATTAAGCTAATACAAAGCAAAGCACACAGAGCTATGACCTCACCTACAAACAACAAGAGGAAGGAATAATAAGCATTGTGCACATTGTGTATTGCCTTGAGGTTCACTCTACCTTACTTCTACCTCTAAAAGACGTGTCATATATACAAGAGACTGTGAATTTAAAAGAAGGCTGCTAATTATTTATGGCTATGCAAGATGTTCAGCACTAATAGACCGCACTGGCTGAGAATGAGTTTTATTTTCCAAGAAATAAAACAAAAATGCAAGATTTTAGGAGGGACTGATTGCTGAAAACTCTCATAGCCGTCTAATATTGGCAATAAGCAGTGCCCATGGGATGCCTCTCTAGCTACTGTAAAATAATCTGATGCTCGTCTTATTAGATGCAACAGATTTGCCTGCAGGGGAGAACTGTGCAGTAGAACTGCTAATAAAATATTATTAGAGAAATGAAAGATAATTTAACTTAAAGAAATGCAAGTGGTTTGTCTTTCATGTTGGATCTTTAATGTAACTGTCATGTAACAAGTTGCTATTGTTCCATTTGCAAAACTAAGAGTTTTAGTTTTAGTAATAGTCCTGCAGTCAGATTTCCTGCTGCGCCTACATCTGGTCACATGACCCTTGGCTTGCAGTTCTTTATTTACGAGTGTTGAGAAGGTTGTATACGTCGCAATCTGAATCTAAAGCGAATAGGTTTTTTTTGCTAGAACAATACAGCAAGACCACATTAAAACAGTCAAAGGTAGGAAAGTAAATTCAATTTTGTGGTAAAAACTAAGCGGTGCTTTTTTTTCCTTTTTTTTCTTTGAGATTTGCATAAATCACTGCAGAATAGCATGAATATATTCTGCTTTGCATATGAAAACGGTGTCTGAATGAAGTGGCTCAGTGTCGCAGTGCTCAGACACCTTTGTTTAGTTTAGGTTTCTTGGCAACAAAAACACCACATAGCACTGCAGACCTTAGGCTGTAAGCTGGTGCCTGTTTTCAGAGGTAGGGTGCTTCTTCTGAGCAATTTTCTGGCTAAAGTTGTAATTATTTTCATGTTATACATTTAAGGGCGTGGGAGGTGGGTTTCAAAGGAAAGTTTGGGTTCTAATGGTCTTAGTTCTTGATTTTTGTTTATTTATTTATTTATGTTTAGCATGTATGTTCATAACTTTGCAATCAAAGTAGTTTTGAATGCTGGGGTTTTGACATTCTGTCACCTTATTTCAAAATAGGACTTAACTCAACAACTGTTCCTTCATTCATACAGACTGAGACAAAGCTTTCAGCCCAGACATGTCGAGAGCACACAGCCTGGAATCGAGGGGGATGACAGCTGAAGGGAAATTCGCTCAGATTAACCATTTCCCATTCACTCCTGAATTTACCAATATGCTTACAAAAAGCAGTCCATGTTTTGGTGCCTTGAGTCACCACTCATTCTTCTCCCGGCACAACCCTCATCCACACAGGATGAGACATATTCAAGGTGAGCAAACAGCTGGGCAAGCGGAAGATATCTATTTATTTTATTAAATGTATTATTTTTAAATAAAGCCCAAGATATGTTTTTTTTACATGTGTGTTTGAGGTGCTATAAATAAGAAGCATCTTTAAGAAATAAACATAAGACAATACTCTAGCTCCCATCTTGATTCAAATGATCTAACTGTAACACACAAAAATCTCAGCTAAAACTGGGCCTGATGCAGCTCAGTTTCTTGAAGGTTCTTATGTATGTCTCATATTATGTTGTATTTATGTTGTTGCCTTGCAATCACCTGCCAACAGACTAAATTGCAGGTGATTTAGTATTTATGGACTTAAAACAGTTAAACACCTTATGATAAAATCATTTAATTGTAATTAAATATTAAGTATTCATGCTAAGTATTCTGAAATAAAAATGACAACAAGGTACTTCAGTAAAACATGGAGTCTTTGAATCTATTAGCAGTTGTTCAGCAGGAACCAAACACAGGCCCTGGTAAATGACTTCAGCATTTATCAAATAGTTGTGTCTCTTTTTCCTTGGCCAGAGCTGTTGAGGTAAGTCTCTATAAAACAGAATTGGCTCGTCTCCTTTCCTAAGAGCTTCGCTTTAATGCTCTATGAAGGTAAGTGACTTTGGCAAGTGGGGTGAGAGTGGGTCAGACAGGCTGGCAGGTAAGTGGTTATGTCAGGTGGGGAAGAGTGGGTCAGGCTGGTCTGTGGGTATGTCTTACAGCAGCATCCAACAGGATGGATGGAACACAGGGGTGCCTGTCTGGGATTTTCTAAGCCACACCCACCACTGCAAGAGAGGATGGGTTGGGCGTGACTGTGAAAGACAATCACAATAATAATAAAATAATTTAACAAATATGGAATATACAAGTTTTTGATGTAACAATGTCAAATTGTGATTGTTTTCCCATGTCAGTATTATTTGTGTTTAGCGACTATATCAAAATTTTAATATAGGATAACTTAGTGTATAAATGTACATAAGGGACCTCATGTGAATTAGTCCAGTCTACAAAATTACCTACATGCCATTTTATATATGCATTTTTGTAGGTGCATGTTGCTGTTAAGCATAGGTAATTAGGCGTTTTGTACTGCGGTACTGCTCAAAATGTTATACAAACTTATTACGTAATGTTGTGGTAAGTTTCGACTTTTAATGATTTGTTCATTATATCTGGTTAAATGTCCCTAAGCATTTAAACATTTAATTTAGACATTTAATCATCCAGATTTTTGTGCACTTAATTCAAGTTTATTAACATTATCAAATATGTATGTTGTGCAATCATTTCACCCCGAATGAATGATTCAAAGAAATCACTTAAAGTCCAAACTTACCAATTTATGCCTGTGATCAGTGGATGTAATCTGACCACAACTGTGCATGGGTGCACCGTATATTCAAATTTTGCATGCCATGTTTTCATTATTGGAGTGGACAGTATCTGGTTGATGAGTCAGTGGACAATTAGACAATGGACAATTGACTTGCCACTTTTAGCATACATAGGTGTAAATGCCTTTTATGGCACAGTGTGTATTTTTGTCAGGTCTTTCCATTGCAAAGTAAAGAGCCCTAATGGGACTGTTGTTGTGATCCATATAAATAAAACTGAATTCTATCTATCTATCTATCTATCTATCTATCTATCTATCTATCTATCTATCTATCTATCTATCTATCTATCTATCTTTAAATTTGTTTCCATTGAGAGGCAGCTTTTATTAAAGCTGCCCTGATAATTGGACACACTATATATAATTTGTCAGTGATATTTAGCGTAATGCTTTGCACTGTTTATGCAAACAAGAAGTAAACAACTTATTGAAGAAATCATAGCAAATAACTGAATAACTGTTTAACTGAATCAAATTAAGTGTGTCCAAGAAAGTATCCATCCATCACTGAAATTCAGTTAAAGTAAGGAGTAATAAAGTCTATGAAGGTAGGAGACTGTGCTGGAATAATTGCTCAAAGATATTTTCACCCAGGAGACTGGAGTTTGTATTTGTTAACTAAAGTCAGTGCTGGCTTATTATTTTCATCTTTTTCCACTTTGATCCAGGTTGTTAGGTTTGGGAAAAAGAAAAAAAAAACACATCCAAATTTAGGTTCAGTAAAACCCTTTCCCATGTCTACCATGTGTTAGAAAGCCTGGCAGAAAGTGCTGAAGGCAAACTTCTCCCACAACATGTTAGAAGTGTGTAGTGGTTTGTGAGGCTCTTTCATAAGCTCGTGTTCATAAGTAAAATTTAGTTGCATCATAAATACAAATGTAATATGATTAAAACAAACAAAACTATACCAAATGATATTTTTTGTGTCTTGCAAGTTAGCTATAGTACATCAGCGTTTTTAGAGTGTATCTCCTACAAACCTTTAAATGTTTTGTTAACATCTTATCCTGCTGTCCTCAATTAGCATTTTCGCTTTGTCATTACCAAATGCTTTTCAACTTGAGACTGCAAAGTCTCTTTGCTGCATTAATTTAGAGGTTATTATCTAATCTACCTGGGACACACTGAATAACAATCTGTTTGCGTACTAATTAATTCTGACTCGAGGTGATTACCTGTCAGAGCTAATTAAAGTTAATATATGAGCTAAAGCCATTAACAAGGTCTTCATTCTTGAAGTCTTCCTTCTTTCACAACCTGCTCTATATGAAATATTTCAAGCAGCTGTTTGGGCACCTGGAATGCTAATATGTAACATGAATAGACAAATTTACTGCACTACTGGTAGAAAAGAAGGTTACATCCCTGAGGTTCCCATGAACTCATCACGTTTATTCTCAGCAGGGATTCTGCTGGCTCCAGTTTTTTTTTTAAATTGTACTGCTTCGATGGATTTGTGCCTCTAAAGCACTTTTCTGTGAGCAGGGTGAATACTGAGCATTTCTCATTCCCACAGGATTCACAGGCAGACCAATTTGCATGGTAAGAGATGATTGGTGTGTCACGTCGTCGTTATTTCCTCATCCACTTCTCAAGAGCCACATAAACAGGAAAGCAGCAGAGCCAGCTTTTCAGCTTGCTCAAAATCTTTATGGAGTCTGCGGAGACAAAACTAAATCAGGTATGTGTACTAACATATATGACACCTAAATGTCTTTATGTCTTTTCTAATGGCCCCCAAAGAAGCCAATTTTGAGTAATGGCTTTAATCGTTTTGTAATTGTTTCTTTTTTCACAGCACTATTGTCAGATGCCTGGAGAGATGAACTCAAAGAAATGGCTGCAAAAATCAGTCTAACTTCCCAAACACAAAAGAACAAAAGAGAGGTATTAATAATTGAATTCTCATGTATTTTTACAGTACTTGACACACAGTAAAAAATCCTTTGTTTGATTATGGCTATCCAGTGCCTGATGGTAAAGGGAATTTAGAGATTGGATGTGACAGTATACTTATTAATACCTTCACATTTTTACATTATTTTTTACATATTTTCTAATTTAAGTTAATTTTGTAGAGTTCTTCAGTTTCTTTCTAACTCAAGAAGATTTCATACTGGAAAAATGTATCCATGTACTGCAGGAACAACCAGAGGAAAAGTTTGTCCGACGAAAGACTCAATATTCAGCTCAGACTGGCAGACTTATTCCTCCATCCTCCAAGTCCTACCTGTGCAAATCTCAATACCAGCGCATGAGCCATCCTCAACCCTTCCATGATCAAGAACTTATGGTAAAATACTGGTTAACTGATCCTGAGTTGTACTGTATAATATGAGGTGTTTTTGGGTTAAAACAAACAAACAAACAAACAAACAAACAAACAAACAAACAAAAAGGGTTAAAAAGGCAAGATCCAACATCACAGAGGGTACAGCTTTTGGTCAAAGTTCCACTTAATTAGATATCTGAAAAATATCCTCTGGCAAAACACTGTCACCAAGTTTCTTGAGAAGTTCACTAATAAGTTCAATAAAACTTCATGTGATCTCTGAGCTACTGTTGTGACGGTCTGTCGCTTTCTTGTCAGGTTTTGGAGATACTTTGTCAGATCCTGCAGACAGACTCTCTCTCCACAGTGCAGCAGTGGCTTCTTCTTTCAGGCCAAAGAGGTAAAAATCCTCATTCCACACACACAGCAGAGATATGCACACTACCATTTCCAGTTATAAATAAGCGTTCTTTAAACCATTTCCTAATACATGCACTTTCAAGAGTCTGGCACTGCATCCCCCTCCTACTTTTTTAGCAATTAATTTGTCACTTTGGATTTTTTCTATGCACACTGGCCACTTTTTTAGGTTGCTCTTTTAACTGCTTAGTAATGCCAATATCTCATCATCAGAGTTGGGCAATTTATTTGACATTGAACATGGTATGGTTGTTGGTGCCAGACGGGCTGGTCTGAATATTTCACAAACTGCTGTACTCCAATAATTTCAATAATCACATGACCCTCTATGAGCATTTACTTGATGAGAGGGGCAAAAAGCTTGTTTTAACAGGAATATACTTCTGACAGAACGAGATCAAGGGAGGGGCTGCCATCCACTGTGACCGGTGGGGGGTGAGGGGAAAGAGAGCAGAGAGAGACAGGATGACAGACACACTGTAGGAGAGCTAGAGATGAATAATTACTAATGTTTAAATACAGTAGTGGAGGGAAAGTTAGTTGGGAAGAAATGCTCAGTGTACTTTTGGAAGCCTCTCTGGTGGACTAGGGCTATTGCAGCATAGCAAAGGGATTGTTTAGAGTCACATGATCCAGCCTGATGATCAGCTTTAAAAACCTTTCAAATGCCGTTGAAAAAGATTGTAACACAGAACCACCTGGTGCTTAAAGGTACATACATTGTTTTTCTTCGATTCAATTTACTTTTTTTGATATAGTGTTACATCACAACAATAATTGCCCCAAGGAATTTTATATTATATGGTAAGGACCATACAATAATGAAGAGAAAACCCCAACAATTAGACGACCTCGTGTGAGTAAGCACTTGGCCACAATGGGAAGGAGAAAACTCCCTTTAAACAGGAAGAAACCTCAGACAGAACCAGGCTCAGGGTGGGGCAGGAGACAGCACAAAAATAATGGTTATAGAATTACCTTAATTCACTTTTACGGTAAATATTTAAATTTTGTTTTTACTCTTGTTGTACTGTTGATCAACTGCAGAAAAAGATCTGGTGATGGGGATGATCAGACAAGCTCTGGACGGTGTCGACCTCTCTGTCCATAACCAGCGGAACTTCCAGCAGCTACAGCCGTTTCATCCAGGAGCGTCTCCGTCTGTGTATGCAGCATCATTTGAGAAGCCATGGGGAAAACCACACAGGAGGAGGTTAGAGTGAAGTGTCAGATTTTGCCCTTTTTTGGCACAGAAATGTTTCAAGCTAAATGTGTTTTAATCTTGTTTATTCACTTCCACAGTTCACACCAAGTCAATCAAACTGCCATTGATGAAAAACCAGGTAATTTGATTATGCTTGACTTTCTCTGTTACGTATGTATTTTTAAAAATGATTTTAACATGTAAAGTTTTGCACAGTTTAATTTTTCTTGTCTTTCGGAGTATATTTAATATACAGCTTGGCCTTTACATTTTACAAAGCCACCCTAAGCCACACTGTTTATGTCTGTCCTTGGCTTGAATGGCAGCTCTTCTCTGAGCTTCTTTTGCTGGCATGAGTTTTTTGGACTGACATCCTCAGCCAGCCTCTTCTTATAAATGCTCCTTTTCCTCCAGTGATTTTGTCTTGATTGACTTAGGCTTCTTTAAATGATTCCTTTTTGTGAAAGTTAAAAAATAATGCCCTATTTAAAGCAGAACTAACGGAAAGGCATTTGCGGAAATAAGTAATGCATTTTAGAAGGGATCCAATTATTCATATTAATATTGAGCAGCTCAAATAAGAGCAAATTTAAAATCTGCTGTGAGTCAGAACCAATAAATTCAGAAAACAGCTGTGTAACATAATGAGTTTCCACTTTTTTTGATATGTGGATCTGTAGTATGTGGAAAATTACTCTCTTAGCATGAATCTGACATGAGTGTTCTTTGCAGAGCGGATTGGTGATGCAGAAGTCCTGGCAGTCCATTCAGAGGCCGAAAGTGTTCAGGTTCCTTCACTTCAGGAGGGGGATAATGCATAGAGCTCAATAATCTTCCTAGAAACTAGCTATATTGTATTATTTCTGTGCTATGAGAAATGTAGCCTAATACCTAGTTAGCTTATCTTTATTTTCATTTGTTAATCAATAGGATTATATGCTGTAGATGTGATTGTGCAGTGTAATAATTGTGGATACTGTTAGATAATTGCTTATTAGCTTTCAAAGGTATCATGGTTAGAAACTGATTGAAGCAACATTTAATAAATAATATATATATAAATTTAGTAATCTGAAGATTTGATCAGTTTTTCCTATTTTACTTTTCAAATAAAGCAATAAAAAAGGAAATGTCTGTGTAAAGAATAACAATTATGTTTACTTTTGGCAGGGTGGCAAACCTCGATAAATGGAGATATAGCAGAAATTATCTTCTTCTTTTTGAAAAAAGTCAAAGAGCTTACCCTAGCTATCCTGATTTTATATATAAAACATATAAACATATAGGAGTGGCCAGACAAAATAATGTGAGTTTTAACTTATACTAAAAGCTTCAGTCTTATTTTAGTATCTTACTGTATATATTTCTACTGCAGCATGGAAGAGAATCAAGAGCAGAACAATGAAGACTGTTAGAGAAACAAACAATGAAAATCAAGCCAGAGTCAGGTTCTGCTTAACAGATGAAGTAAGAAACAAGCAACAGCTCATGAATAAATCAGTTCATTTATGAAAAATAAAAGTACCTATTTGATAAGTGTGCCTGTAATTTTATATATACCAAAATATTTATTGCTGCATTAATGTGCAAAGATCTTTTACAACTACTCCTATGACTAAGTCATTATTATCATAATTTTAGCCCTTAATATATATTACGCTACATAATGTACTGCATTCCTTTTAAATTATCCGCTAATGTGTAGGCCAATACATTTAAGTGATATACAAAACTATCAACTGTTTTTATTTTATTTTTTTGCAGCAAAAAAAAAAAAAAAGGCAATCGAGTCATAAACTGGTCAACAAAAATTATGACATATAGATATGATAGTGAATACTTTTAACAGTTTATGCTATGTAAGATTTTCTGTCCTGAACCAGCCTTTCTTCTATATCTCTTCTTTTAAAACTAACATAGATGCCATGCTTTTCCTTTTCAACCAAGGACTTTGAAGAAAGTAAATTTCAGAAGCTCTAAGAAGTCAGAGTTTTCACATTCACCATTGCAGCTCAGTGCCGCTGCTTTCTCTCTTCTTTGTGTCTACCAAACACTACATGCGCAAGAATATTGCCCCCTAAGGCATTATTGACGCTGTGTGGTGAATGCCTGCATTTTGTCATGTTTACAAGTTTTTGTGTGTAATGAAGCCCATTATAAAATCTTTCATAATGTTTTCTGAAACCATTAGCAACCAACAAAGTACTCCCTGTTGCCTTAATTTTGTTTTTCATCTGTTATAAACCTAACTGTAACAGCACAGGGAAAAAAACAACAACAAAAAGTTAAGAAAAGAAGAAAATAGATCCCCCACCTGCAAAGCCTTTTTTTTTTTTTTAGTTTATGCAGCTAACAGATTAAATGTTTTTTCAATTTAGGTTTCATATTGCTTCCAGAATTACTTCAAAGATCAATTTGTGTAATTAAGTCACTCCGACATGTGATTTAACCTTTAATTTAATCCTCGAAGACAATGGCATTACTAACACCTTATCTGACCAGTGTGGACCAACCTAACAAAGTGGCTGATGAGTGTATGTCTATTTATATATTTAACAATAAGGAGCAGACAGTGTGTTCCAACCTTAGGGAGATCATAGTTATTGAAGTTTAGCCTGCCTGTTTGTCAAAACTGTGATTCAGGAATGAAAGTGTTGCTTCCTTCATGATTGTGTTAAACTGGAAAAGCTCTTTACCCTCTCAAGGATGCTCTGGGGTAGGTGAGAATTAGCTCAACCATATGATGTATAGACTTCAAGAAGTCACCTTTGTGAGGATGATTCAAGAGTAGGAGGCATAGGGCACATTACAGGTTTTTTGGTCCCTGTACGCCTGAAGTGAGAGTTTGGTCTTCAATAACAGCAATAACTCACATCTGTTACGAACTAACACTGGATTCCATCAGGACTGCCTTCGTTCAGAAATTAATTTTTGGAGGCAGCCAAGGGGCAGAAGAAAAATAATTGTGTTTTGCAAACACACCAGAGCAGTTTGCAGCTCAGTGTAAAGTCACAGTGATTAAAAACTCTTGATTAATAAGTAGTGACAATTTGATGGTCAAATAGTTCAAATAAAAACAAAAAACAAAGCAAAACCCCCCCTGCAGTTTCAGTACATAGTAGGTTAAAAAGACCAATTTTTAACCTACCTGTTACGGCCGGGCGGCCGGTGTGTTTGCAAAGTGGACATGGAAGAAAGAAAAACTAAGTGTAACACAAACCGAGCCATTTATTAGGCTGAATACAAGAAAAGAAAACAAGACAAGGCGAACAGGGGCATAACCAAAACTAAACTAAACTGGGGACAGCTAAACTAAACATAAAAACGAGAACATGAAGCTGAACAGGTACATGTAAAACTTTAGCGTGAAGTAATCTAAACATGAACCTGAACAGCAGCTAAGAAAATCCTGAGACCTAAGGTCACATGAAGCAAGTTGGACAGATAAAGCAACACTGAACAGAAGGAGACAGAGGACTTAAATACACAGGAGGGTAATGAGGGAAGTGGAAACACCTGGAGAAACACCGCTGATACAAATGAACCTGACACCACAGGGAAGTAAAACTAAACACACTGAACATAGAAACACTACTCTTCAAAATGGGACTTTGACAAGACAACACAAGCTTGACAACATGGAACATGTAGACACGAATAAGACTACAGACTGGGGAGACACAAGGAGAGACACGAGACACGAGCAGTGACATAAATCTGCATCAACACTTTAAATTATGTAGCATGCTGAGAATTTCTACTATTGCTAAACACAGACTCAAGGACACTTTTGCATGCTGTCAAAGTGATTTATTACATTGCTCATCTCTACAGAGTCTCTGACTATGCTCCAGAGGATGGTCACTTTCTGCTCCAAACCGAGTGCCACATTAAAATAAGGTTCAACAAATTCACAAGTAGATTAAAAGATCATTTATAATATTTTTATTATAAATTCCCAAAACAATTTGTAGATTTCTTTTTACAGAGTAAGTAAAAAAGCTGGCCAGCTGAAAGGGAGAAGTCAGTTCAGTCAACATCTGTATTACTGTACATTTTTCAGTAACCTGCCCTATAGTCATTGAGTTATATTTCAGTCTAAACCTGACTAAAAATCCTTAATGCCATTCCTGGGGCCAAGTCCCTGGCTGAATTTTTAGCCATATTGATCTTTTGCTACATATGATTGACAGCAGTAGGCTGGAGATTAAGTGCATGTTTAAATTCAAAAATAACAGCTGGGATATTTGCATTCTCTTTTTGGCAGAAAAAGAAAGGCTCTAACAAAATCCTGTACAATCACACTTATTGCTTAAAAATTGCTAAAGTGGTATCTTATATAATACAATATACAATATAATATTTATATTGTACGAACTTGATAATTATGTATATTGTAATAATGTGATATTATGTTGTTCAAATGTGAAACGTATATTGTTAGAACAATAAACTTTTTCTTCTATTTTTCTTTTGCCTGGGTGGCAGCTCTATGCTGGAAGCATGTAAATATAATAATAACCACTGCAGCCAAGAAGAGTGCCTGACGAGCCCAGTTGTAAGTAAGCTATTAAGACTCGACTGTACGCTGTGTTCGTGTTTTCCTCCGAAACAACAAGTTCCTTTGGAGCAGCCTTTCAACACCTCTCTCTGTCTCTCGCTAGCAAAGTTGACCCAGACAAAGTAAAGCTAGTTTTCGGCTACAAGCCCGACACGAACCCGATATATTAGCCAGAGGTCCCTTTAGGGTTTTATGCCTTTACAGTTCGGAGCCGCTGACCTGTTTTATATACGCACGGAATAGTTTTCTATATGAGATCGCTGCAAAAAGTGCAGCCTTACCTAATGTCTACCCTACTGTTACTCATTTTATATTAAGATTTAAAAATCTAGTTGGTATTGCTATGGCGAATAACCTTCAGTAAAAGTAATAAATCACACAGCAATAGTACATTAATGTAGTTGTAAAAAGTATGATAGCATATTAAGTAATCCAAAGTATTCAGAATATGTTACTCTCATTGAGTAACATAATGGAATACGTTACAAAATACATTTTGGGGCATGTATTCTGTAGTGGAATACACTCATTCCCCAGTGCAAATGGAAACACTGCAAAAGCGAACCAAATGTTCCTCAAGGTAAATGAAATGGTATGTTATATAGAATATGGTATATTCTTGAGTGGAACAGTCGGTTTATCTAATTTCAACCCATGTAAGCTGGTTTTCAGTTACTGAAGACAAAACTGAACAGAGTATCTCAAGGGAGGAACCGCAGTATTTGTTCCACATTTTAGTCACTGATTTCAAAGTATTTCAAAGTATTTTCCTCTTAAATTTGTTATAAATATTAGGAACAATTTTTCTGTTAAAAATTATTAGTTTGTCCAAATGTTTCGGAGCCTCTAAAAATGGAAGACAGTGTATAAAAACATTTGTAATTCCTAAAAAGTACATTTAAAATCTTTGTTAAACCCCTTATTAAAGCTGGAAGTCGCACTTCGTTCGCAGCCTAATATTTTCAAAATCTTCTGCAGTGATGCACAATGGAAAAATGAAAGAGAAAAAAAACCTAACTGTATATGAGTTTCATGAAAAGGAGACGTGTCTCTTTGTGGATGTATCCTGACTGAAACAGACCAGCCATAACCACGCAGAACAGTGGCTTCAAAATTATTTCAAAGCAATTCTAATGGGATCAAAAAATGGAACACATGAATGTAAGAAGACACTCAGAAAATCTAACTTCAGCTTCCTTTTATTATATTAAAATTCGAGAGCTAGGAAAGTGGAACAAAGGCTTCAAAATAAACAGTGCAACTAATGTATGCATAAATCACTGCTATAAAGCCATACCAATATGTTGCCATAGTTACCACTGGTGAGTCTTGTTTTGTTCTTATCAAGCTTCTGTTTTTGTGCCGTAATGTTCTGTTTTCTAAAATTTACCTTTGTTCTTCAATATGCATGACAAGACAAAAAATAGAAAAAACTAACAAAAAAACCCTTTGACCTGAGGATTGAAAGTACTGGTTGGTTGGTAAGTACAGGTCTTATGTGCAGA